ACGCAACGCGTAAAAAGACTGTATAAGTCATTATAATCAGTAATTATGTCCCTACTGGATGCAACAAATGCCTCGTTTGTAATGGGTTTTATTGGTTTTGTCTCGTCGCGCCAGGACATATGTAAACACAGTATGGTAAGGGGCGTAACATTTCCGTCACACGCTTGAGGTATTCAGCCAATCACAACACACTGGATAGCTGGCCAATCAGAGCACACCTCGCTTTTCAGTACGATGAGCTTTGTAAAAATCGACGCGTTTCAGAAAGTCGGGGCAACAGCATTAAAAGACAAACCTTTTAAATTCTATAAAGTATGGGACCCCTTCTTTACCTATCTTGGGGCTGGAGAGAGACATTTACTAGCGCTGGGAATACGGAACCTGGCGTGGAAGGACTGATTAACAACCCAGCGGTGATGTAATTTTTTTTTCTTTTTCTTTCTTTTTCTTCTTGTAACAATGTATTTGGTAATACTGTATTTTAATGTTTATTTTGCAGAGAATTCAAATGAATGGCCACCTGGGCAATTTATATTAGCTCGGATGTGTCAACTATGTTTAAACCCTGTAAATGTCAAAAAGCTTCAATAAAAAAAAAAATAATAATAAATAAATATGGTCTGAAAATCTACTGAGAAGTTTGGACATCTGAGTCTGGAAAAGTATGGAATTTTCAGATGGAAAATGTGTAGGAACCCTGTATTTTGTGATTTATTATGTAAATGTCAAAAAGCTTCAATACAAAAAAAAAAAAAAGAAAGTCGGGGCATAGAGGAGAAACAATTATGTACATTATGTGGAAAATAATGTGTTTTTTGAACCTTAAACCGCATAAACACATTGCATTACACCAAATACACAAAATAATGTTCTTTTTAGCAACATCATATGACCCCTTTAAAGCAAACTTCAGACAGCCCCAAAATGAGTCTGTCTGCAAAACCCCTGTGGACAGGCGATGAAGATACAAACCTAGCGCCCTCTTTAATTACTGATAAGTTGCGAGCCAGCTAAACTCAGTGGATTGTTCCTGCCGGAGGCCCTAATCACTTTAAAGCGGACCGCTGATCCTAACCGCTGCATTGGAGTGTTCTGTGGCAGTCCGTGCTTCTGAAACAGACACTATCGGCCTGCTGGGCTCACTCTTGTTAAAGCAGCGGTTCTCAATTTCAGTCCTCGCGTACCCCCGCTCTGCACATTTTGTATGTTTCTCTTATTGCTTCAGACGTTTGTTATATTTGACTGTAAGTGCTCTGCGAAGTGGACATTACCGGATATTCCTCCATGATTCCAGTTTGAAGGGAGCGTATATGTTCCATACAAAGGGCATTTAAGTGTGCGAGACGTGAATTTAAATTGTATTTATTTACAGAGGTATATTATGTCCCACTTCACGCTTCTCTAGTAAGTTTCGTATGTGTGTGAAGACGCTGCAGGCAGCGGCGCAGCGCAAATCTGTAAATGAATTTTCCGAAGTGAAGTAAACTTCAACGGATTTCCCTTGCTCAGGGAGTAGGGAGCAATGAATACTGTGTAGGGACCATGTCAATCGGAACAGAGTTCATGCACGGAGCTCACTTCTAACGAGATGATGATCTGAATCAGGTGTGTTAACAAAGAGAGACATGCAAAACATGCAGAGCGGGGGTACGCGAGGACTGGAATTGAGAACCGCTGCGTTAAGGCAGTGGTTCTCAAATCTGTCCTGGAGTACCCCCAGCACTGCGCATTTTGTATGTCTCCCTATATCTGACACACCCACTTCAGGTCTTGCAGTCTCCACTAATGAGCTGATGAGTTGAATCAGGTGTGATAGATGAGGGAGACATACAAAATGTGCAGGGCTGGGGGTACTCCAGGACAGGTTTGAGAACCACTGCGTTAAGGGATAGTAAAAATGATGAAAGTGTGACAAGGGTATACAGTAGTTCATGTGAGATAACATTTCTAAATAGTTTTAAATTGGCTTAAACATTTCACAGTTGCAATTTAGATTTCAATAACATTCTCTGTCCTTTCTCTGACACTGCAATACATAAAACATGCATAAAACAATGTAAAGCTAAAATGATCATGGTTTTACAGCATAAAAAAACATATTTTTCCATGACATTATATGTAAATTCAGTAATGGGGAACTGTTAAGACAAGCGTTTAGAAAAATATGATTTTCATATCACATTCTGAGCAACATACAATAACAAAGACTTCACCTGATAAAACTTTCAGTATTTTATTCATTTGTACATCTTCATCCCCTTGTTCCCCCTGAAAGTAAACATGATCATACAGATGATAAGTACTTCTAATATATATTTTTGACAGTTTTACAGCCCCTGTACAAGAGCATGGATTTCATGGAGTTCACATCTACATCAGCAACATCAGTTTCTTTGCCCAAAGAACCGAGAACAAGCAAATATGGGATTGGGAGCTGGGAGAGAGAGAGTGTGGGGTTTTGGGTTAACAGACAATGAGTGAAGGCATATACAGAAGCAGCTCCATCAGGATAAACTATGTACATTACAAACCATTCATACAAATTAGGCTCTATGATATAGAATTCATTACATTACAGTGTATTATAAGTGACAGTGAGCAAGCCCTTCAATCATTCCTGGATCTTATTGAACTACAGGACACAGCTAGGGCCGAACAATCCGTAATTATTACAGTACAGCTTCCTTGTAATAGGTAGAAAACATGCCTGTAGTTAAGGCCTGCTCATAACCAGCAGAACAAAGCCATTGTCCTCACCTTTGGGCCTTTGGGCTGGGAGAAATAACTCAAGAACGCATGGGGACTCCAGGGCTGTTCAAAAGTTTGTAGGTGGAGGGAACATTGAGATTCTGACTGCGATTAATTCTCCTGCGACATCTCTTCTGAGGCAAACTACCATCGAAACGAAAAAGTCCTATTGTATCTACACCTTCATGATCGCTTGGCAGTTCTAATAAACATGTTCATACTTGTACAAATAAACTAATTAAATATTCTGAAACTCAAACACTTGCACATTTCTAAATTAAAACAGAACATTACAGGACAAAATTGTGAGTGTACATGGTCATACAAGCAACACCCCAGTGGTAAAATAATATTCTAAGAACATTAAAATATATAAACAATAAATTAACAATAATGGGTGCCGTAACTTAAAGGATACCAAGTGAGCAAACAAAAGCATTACGTTATGCCCTCAAATGAAAGTTTTTGTGTGGTCCTTGTGCAAATAGCCAAATACTTTTCTTTTCAAGTTGTTTTAATAGATCTGGGCCATGAGTGCATGGTATGGGCAGTGCGGGGAACATGTATTTGTTGTGGATGGGGAGAGAGCTCCATCCTTTGCCTCGTTGTCCTTCATGTGGGTGACGTCAGCGGCTACCTTCAGCCGGAAGGGAAGTAAGGAGTATCGCTGTGGTAGTTATAATCTGGGCAGACTTTCTGCACAAGCTTGTAGTCGGTGCTGTAGAAGGAGATGTAAATGCAAATGACTTTGAAGGGCTTTGAGCAGAGCCAGGATACGTGGCTTTGTGTCTGCTCTTGGTAACATGTCTTGGACGGGTCGAAGTTGCAGAGCGTGTTCTTGGAGCCCTTCTCAACTTTCTCGTACTCGATGCGGCAGTTGAAGGACTTGGAATCCTTGGAGTCAATGACCGACTGCTGGGCCGTCAAATCAAACTCAACGATTTTGCTCGGCGGGACCAGGCTGACAGACACGTTGCCCTGGCCCGTGGAGTTATGGCGGAAGAAGACGCTGAAGGTGCCGTTGCCGTGATCGACGATCTTACCGGTGATCAGAAGGTTGAGCTTGACCGTTTTGATGTTGGAGTGGAAATCTCCCCAGCCGAACATTTTCTTGAACTTGCCCGTCTTGACCATTGGCCGCCGTTTGGCTCGAGGCCTGGAGTCCTGCAGGTCCGTGGTATTCCTCAGCCAGTCCCAGAGGTCCTGCTCTGAGTAAGGCTCCGGAGTGTCATAGTGCAGGTCCAGGGCTGTTGCATTTTCCTTCCCATGGAGAGTCTGTGATAGAAGTCGACTGATGGACAAGTCCTTACTGCTTTCTGTCCATAAATGCTTTAGTGTCGACTTGGGGCTCCCTGATTTGAGCAGCTCCGACTTCCCCGGGATAGAACCGTGGGCACTTGAAACCTAAGAAAGCAAGACGGAGAGGATGTTATTGAGCCTTCTTAACCTTAAAGAGCTACAGAAGACACATAATGCAAAACAAGTGAGCATTTCATCCAGTGCAGCTTGACAGGAAAAAGGAATTAAGTGGATATTACTCTTGATTCGGGAGATATTGAACCCTCATCCCCACACAATCATGTAGTCTCCTACTCAACAGACAGATCAAATGGATTAGGATGAGGGGGGAAAAAAGATAATCGATCGAGCCCGCAAGCTTCAATTTGCAACGTGTTAGCTGACAGGAGCTGTCTGAGAAATGGAACGGAGCGTGGCGAATGAGAAAAAGAATACAACAATCAAACTCGCCACGTTGTGCGGTTGGGGAGGGGATCTCCGCTGGCCCCCCCTGATAATACCGGTGACTATTCTTTGAGTAAAGAGCAGACTATTAACCAGCCACTGCTCCTTGAATTGATGATTGATGAACCACTGGGTTCTCTCCATTTAGTGCAGATGAGTGGAATTAGGTCCATACAGGGCCTGGCGGAGCGCAGTGACATTGATTGCCTGATTTCTACTGTAAGACCTGACAGCAGATCTGTCTTGCGGTGGTTTTTGCATCTCGAGGGCTACCCCTGGGATCGATAGTTAGAAAATAAGGTCTCGCTACCAATCTACCTGACACTTCGGACAGAATTGCCTCACAGCATGTGCGAGAGCGAGGGCGATGCAGGTCCAGTTTAAACACAGTGCTGGGTGGGAGCAAGGCCACGTGGCTCACTTAAGGATTTCATGTTGCGAACCTGAAAGGTAATCGATATCTGACTTGAAGAGTGGTTCAAAATGCAAATTAAGAGAAGTTTAACTTAAAAACTTAGAAATTGCACGATAGCGGTCTGGTCACGTTTAGAACTCACATTAAATATAAACAAAATAATAATAATAATGAATATTCTTAAAATATTAATTGTGTTGTGTTGTAATATTGTGTTGTAAACACAACTCAACATGCACCTTTACCTGACAAGCACCCACACTAGTGATGAAGAACCCTGGGAAGAGAGTTCAAATATATTTCCAATGAAATTAAGGATCATTACTCTTCCTCATGTGTGGAGTAAGAGGCCTTGCCCTGTACTAAAAGAGAGTAATATGTTTTGTGCTCTGGGAGCATGATTAAAGACAGAGTTATTATTTATTAATGGCTAATTGCCGAAGGGGCAATACAAACATTCCAAGGCTGAGCAAGTTTCAAGGAGCTATTTGTGTGAAGTTCAGTGCAGCCTGACCGACTGGGAGGGCACTTGCATTGATAAATGGATCTGTATAGTGCTTGTTTTAACAAAATGTTGAGGGAAAAACATGTTTTCATGCTTATGTATTCATCATCCAATGGAATATAGTGCAATACAATAAAACAATTGCAAAATGTTTTAGCAAGTGTCCTAGGTGATGCAATTTACAGTCAGGATATAGTCAGCTAGTCACGATCATATTAATATTAATAACTATATAATAATTCTTAATGCTATTACTACTACTACTTATTTTAATAATAATAATTTTCAATTATTATATTATATTTATTGTGTATATATATATATATATATATATATATATATATGCTCAAAATTCCCATAACTTATGTCTACATTATGGAGGGTAAGTACACTTGCTGTGAAGTAACTTCTTTTCAGAGTTGTATTGTCTCTTTGACAGAGCTGGCGTACAAAACAGCAGGTGAGCTAAAGGTCAACCGATAATGACCATTGTTATAATAGCTTTAGTAAAACAGCAGTAGTAAGAGAATGAGCAGAGGGAGTAGATAAAGGAGGAAGAGGAATAACTGAGAGCACATTTCACCATTTAGCTTTACACTACAGAAATACACTAAAAGCAAAGTGAGAGGAGAATTACAAAAACACATCCGCCTGAGATAAACGTCCCAGAGAAAACATGGTCCTTATCAATAAAACCGCTAAGTCAAGGCCAAAACCTCTACCGTGTAAAACAATATGCCAATGTGCCTCACTTTAACAACCTCCCAAACAACGTTTACAGCCTGGGACATGAGATAAAATGGTGCATATCTTCTTCCTCCTCAGCAATTCACTGCCATCCACAACCTAGATGCTTAAACAAGGCACCTCATGCTGTGGCCGTCCTGAGAGAAATGAAAAGGAAAGGCAAAACTGAAGATGGATTTCAACTAAATCCACTTCTGCTAACAAAGCACTTGCAGGCTTTGCTAGCCCCCCTTTCCTCGCTGCCTGCTGCGTGCGTTTGGTTTGTAGGAGTGTGAGGCATTGCACAGGCCCATTAGCGGCATAACTAAGCACTGTGCTTTAGGATGGGCTGCTGGGGCAGAGGCATGGCTGCTGCAAGAGTTGGACAGCTGCTAAGCAGCCATGGAATATCAGGCTGTGACCACGCACTAGAACTGCCTAATGGTGTCATAAGAAGGCCGTTAGATGCACCATTAAAGCAGGCTGTCATGCTCGTTGTGTAGCAGCCTGTGTGTTTGTAACAATGCCCATGGATTCCCCTGATACAGTCAAGTAGGTATTGCAACAGAAGTGTGACACACAGACCGTACAAAAACTGTTCCATATGCCCAGTATGAGATGCATTTTCTGCATTTACGAATGCAATTATGAAATAGCCAAATGAGAATATTAAAACGCATGTCTGTTTCAGCATGACAGGAACTCATTTGAACACAATGGCCACGTTTACAAGGCAACAGAATACGATCATCAATGCTTGTTAATAGGGGCCATTTGTTCTTGCATTTACAACATAAGACACTGCATTGAGGAGTGGAAAACACAATTTTTTAACAGCATTTAAACGTTCAGCTAGCATGGATTTACACTGGTAACCTATTAAAGTGCAGTGTAAATTGTGAAAAAAAGGTCACATTGGAGCCTATTTAGTTTGAAAACATAAAAAAAACATAAAAAAAAAAAAAAATGTGACACCCAAAATCAAGACGCCGAAACAGCAGCAAGACGCAGCACAACGGTCATCAGTGTTTGGCTAGCATAGATTTATGTTGGTAAACTATTCAAATGTAACTTAAAGTAGAATTTAAAACGAGTTCTGTGTGAACCAGCCCCACTGGAGCCCATTTACACAGAATCCGTTTTTGTGTTTAAAAACATGAGACACATGGCAGGAGAATGGAAAAAAAAAAAGCCAAGTCTGGAAATGTGTTTATTTTAACTCGAGCGTAACGGACAAACACATTAGTCTAGTATGTGTTTACATGGAAAAACAATGGAAAAGTTGTGCAGTGAATGCAAAAACGTGTTCAGTGTGAACGGTGTCAGTTTTCAGGATTCAGAGATGTATTTTAGGTAAACATGCTATGTGAGTAAAACCGGTTTTAGATACAGTTACGTGACTCAAATGCTATGCTCAATACTCAGTTAAAAATAATTAAAAAGCATTCAAAGCTGCTCCATTGATTCATATTTGACAGATGAACTTGGTCTTCATAGGCTTGTGTCTTATCAACTGTGATAAGACTTTTCTTTGTTATGAACATTGCCATCTTTTTGTCACTACAGGTGAAATTCACCTTTATGTAGTCTGGGAACAAAAAGGGCACTTGTTCATACAATTGCAACTAAAACAGCCTACTGTATATAGACTATTGTAAAACATTTGAGACTCACACCCATTAAATACGGTTCTCAATCCCAAACACTGACTGGGTGAATGCAGTCATTTAACAGCAGAATATACACTGCTGCAAATATAGTTACATACAAGCTCTAACAAGGCCGTTTGGAAATTGAAAGGACACATATTATGGTAAGATTACAGTGAACTAGACAGACTCTTATTTTAACAATGCAAAGCTCCTAAGTCCACCAGATCAGGTATTAAAATGATTACTTATGCAAGAACTGGTCATTGAGAATCTTTGTAGTATGCTTTTTTTAAAGGGGTCATAACACATATATATATTTTTTTTATATGTCCTTAAGGTTCACTTATAATGTATGAAAATTGAGGTTCCTGTGAGATTTTATTTAGGGCGTTATACCACAAACAGCCACCGGGTGCCATCCAAACTCCATTACATTTTTTAATGCATTTTTCTGTCACAAATGTCTAGATTTCTCTGTCAATATTAATTATATCTCACATAACCACCACATATGGAATCCTGAGACTCAGACCTTTCCAGTGATATGTTTTTTGTCAAGATTATAAAAAGTTTTGATTGTAAAAGAGCGTAATGCATTTTGTAATATGACACTTGACACCGCCCACTAAGGGGGAGGAGACCGCCAACAGATTTTAAAGTACCATTTCCATGGTAACGCAATGTCCGATTTCAAAATGGTTTTCACAGGATGAATCTTGGACTTCTATGCTTTCAAATGATATATGATTTATGATGATTTATGATTACTAAAAGATTTGATAGAGAAAAAGGACAACAAAAAAAAGAGTGCCAAGCGTCCCACAGTTGGGACGGTGACAGTTAAGGGGTTTTAATAAAGTTTTTCTTTTTTTGGAGAAAACTGCATAGGAAACAGTATCAACGGCCACTCGCTACTGCACATAAGGGATTTGAAAACATTATCCATATAAAACTATAATTTACAGATAAAGCATGTAGCTGCTTTCAGATCCAATACAGTTAGCCTTTCCATCTTTCAGCCAAAGTTTCTTTACAAACTCTCCATCGCACTGTGCCTCATTTACAAAACAATCAGCAGTTAAATGTATGAACAAACAAATAATTATCCAACGTGATCTGGGATGCCATTAAAAAGAAACCATTCACTTATTTCTGGTGCAGAGGTCATTTTTAAGTCTGTACAGAGCTGCAAACAAGCTGTTTAAACAGGACACGTCAAAGCAAACACTCTTTGACTCTTCCATTTGTCCTGTTGTCGGCAGTAGCTCAAGCGCATGGACTATGTATACTGTATGCATCTGTATCCACTGTAATGGCTTCTATTTGCTTTTGACGATGTGACACTCACATCCAGTGTAGGCAA